TGGAAGAGATGGTGGTGATGGAGCCGGAGAAATGCCAGAAGCATGGGCTGCGGGCGGAGTAGAAGGTGAACGTCAGCAAATCAAATCCCGAATGACCTTGTTTGATCTTGCTCGCAGCGGCGTTTCAATGTTTGAAAAGGGGCTTGACTACGTCTCATTGTTCAAGGATACGCCCGACATGGTGACTGCGACTGACATGAAGCTTTTGGAACTTCGACTGGAGCTTTTCCTTTGGGACTGGGTTGTAACAAATCATATGCAAAGACCCAACAACTCAACAACTCAACAAACACAACTGACAAATACTAATACTAGAATTCGTTTAATAGCCTTGGCTGTGGCTTACTGGTTGCTAGCCCTGCAACGTTTGACTCACTTAATTGGACTGTTGCAACTGTTGCGACTGTTACACGGTTACTGTTATACTGTTACTGAATACCTAATTTAGACTCATTGCTTTCCTGTGACAGGACCATTACACTAGCGTGGTCGACAGCACCGCTGAAGCGATCGAGTGGAATTTTGGCGATGCCGACGAAGAGGCACAAGCATTTTCTACGGGAAATGTTGGCAAGGTGGCCAAGGTGAACAAGAAATTACAGGCCCAAAGGCTTATCTTCTCCAAGTTCGACCAGAGCACTCCTGAGTTCAAGAAGTCGCTGCGGTTGCCCTACCTTGGACATGTTTCCACCGTCAAGTCAGGTGCAGCTTCTTTTTGCATTGGCACTATCTTTGACTGCAACTTCTACATGAATCCTTTGCCAACGCCCAGCCCAGCAAGCCCGACGATTATCCCAGCGTGGTTGATTCCAAATACCAACAAGCCCCCCCAAGCGACGTTGATGGAAAAGGAGGAGAAGATCCAATGTGTTGCTAGGTCTAACTTGATTTTCTGAATGCTGTGCATGTTTGTTTCATGTCTGAATTTGTGCAGATGTAATATGCCAAAAAAAACAAACTGATATTTCAAATCAATCTGATTCAATACCTGGGTACCATAAAGGATATATAGCCAAGAGTAGCCAATTAGCAACTCAACAATTTGATAATCAATCAATCCATGTTTCTTGGGTTCCTAGGGTTTGGTGGTTGTGACTGTTCTTGTGGTCGGTGACTGTTATTGATTTGACGTGAGGTTTTGACCAGAGACCTGAAGATTGCAAAGTTGACTGATGCCATTGAAAAATCAGAGGTGGCGTTGGTCGATTTGCGCATGAAAGTGCTGCTTGGGCACCTTTCGGTATTTTTTGTCTTGTTTTTTGTGACGTATCTGAGTTTCTAGTCCATTGCATGTCAACCCACACTGACAGCCACATTGATATAATGCTCCTATGCTCAACCTGATATGTTTTTAGACATCTTCATCATGATCCTCATGTTGTTCCCCACCTGCCAGGTGAGGGTTGCTAGATTTTAACAGAGCTCTTCTCCTCCTCCTCCTCCTCCGCCTCCTCTGCCTCCTCCGCCTCCTCACCCGCCGCCTCCTCCTCGCAGTCCAGATCCCAGTGGGCACAGCCGGACCTCCACCGCGAGCTCCAGATCCCAGTGGGCACTGCCGGACCTCAACCGCGAGTTGCAGATCGCAGTGGGCACTGCCGGACCTCAACCGCGACTTCCAGGTCGCAGTGGGCACTGCCGGACCTCAACCGCGACTTCCAGATCGCAGTGGGCACTGCCGGACCTCAACCGCGACTCAGTGGGCACTGCCGGACCTCAACGGGAAGAATGTCAGAAAAGATGTCAGATAGAATGTCAGAAGATATGCCAGATAGAATGCCAGAAAGAATGTCAGAAAGAATGTCAGAAGATATGCCAGATAGAATGCCAGAAGATATACCAGATAGAATGCCAGAAGGTATGCCAGATAGAATGCGAGAAGGTATGCCAAATAAAATGCCAGATAAAATATCTGATAGACTGCCACAAGATATGCCAGATAGAATCCCAGAAGATTTGCCGGATAATATGCCAGAAGATATGCCAGATAGAATGCCAGAACATCTGCCAGAAGATATTCCAGATAGAATGCCAGAAGATATGTCAGATAGAATGCCAGAAGATATGCCAGATAGAATGCCAGAAGATTTGCCAGAAGATATGCCAGAACATCTGCCAGAAGATATTCCAGATAGAATGCCAGAAGATATGTCAGATAGAATGCCAGAAGATATGCCAGATAGAATGCCAGAAGATTTGCCAGATAAAATTCCAGAAGATATGCCAGAAGATATGCCAGATAGAATGCCAGAAGATATGTGAGATAGAATGCCAGAAGATTTGCCAGTAAGAAAATGTATAAATGTCATGGTGGGGATCACACGAAGTAAAGTAATTGTTTTTTTTCTTGCTTGCTGACTTGCTGTCCTTTCAAATTTCGATTTCATATGGTGATGCACTGATACACTGATACACTGGCGGCCTTGTCACCAAGCGTTTATGTTCGTGGCCGCATTGAGGGAAGTGCAAGTTTCGTATGTTATCCTTTATCTTCGGCCAAGTGCATTTGTGTTACATACTTGTGGATTCTGGTGGCATCTGACGTTTTTGCCCTTGAGGTTAAGACTTTGTGAGTATGAGTATGCGTATAGCCATGTTAATTGTAAATGGTACAGTATTACACGCAACCACTTCAACAAAGCTTCCTACATGCTGTGGTTTCCGAACAATCTTGAGGCTGTCTCCGAATGAGTTGGTATTCCAAAATGCTGAGAAGGAGAAGGCAACTGAACTTCCCCTGATCAAGTATCAGCACAAGAAGAAAGATGGAGATGAAGCAGGTGATCCCATGGAGAAGGAACAACTTTTTGGATACCCCTTTGCGCTGCTTTCGCGTCGTACGGCTATGGAGGCTGCTGGTATGTCTACGGCTTTGCCATCCCTGTCCAAAGAGCAGAAGAAAGCTGAGAAGGACAAAAAGAAGGCTCTTGTGAATGCTAAGCATTTACTGCGATAGCCGGCTTTGAGGCCAACAGAATTTGAATCGGAACTGTATAGATCAGTGTGCAGCTGACGCCCGCTGCCGTGGCCTTTTTCAAGTATAATCTTGCGACGTTTTTTGTATGCTGACTATGCATTCTCACGAAACAAGTACAAGTGAGGGACGCCAGGCTTCTAATATATTCTGCTTGTTGCTATTTATCGCTCATGATTCATTCTCAAGAGATTGATGACCAAATACGGCTTGACTGCTAAAATCTATGATAAAGATAATGCACGAGTTAAATCTGTTTGTTTCCCTGGTTTTGGGCGTGGTTATGCAATCTCTGGAAGCCTAATTTTATATCGTGAATTCCTGGCTTGACTCGCTTGACCTCATTCCGCCATGTGCCATGTACGGCTACCGAGAGGCTGTATAATTCGTTTTCTGCATGTCATTCTGATCAAGATGCAAATCTAAGAGTAAAATACTTCACAATCACGCGATGTACGTGAAAAGAAAAGAAGCCGCACCAGCTGAATTGCTCTGGTGAAATTTTTGGCATTTAGCAACTACTGGAACGTCATCTGAAGACTTGCGGTGAATCAGTGGGCGGTTACGATTTTCGCACGCTGCCCCCCAGCACACGTGCTCTGATTTATTGCTTTCACACATTCTGAAATCTTTGTCGCCCAGGTCATACGACGAGAATTGGCGGAGAGATTGGCAAAAAGCAATGTGCTGCAGCGTTCCATCCCGTGGCATGTTCATGCTCATAATTTAGGTTATTGAAAAAAATGCTTTACGCGCACCCCTGGATTGCGCAGAAATCTGTTTACCACACATTGAAAAAAAGATTGCACCACAGAAACACCATGTCGGAATCCTCACCTCATGGCTATGCGATTTGTCATGGTTCTTTACACATATATTCTTTACACATGTCATGTTCTCTCATTTTATATTCCACGATGTGAGATATACCGCCAGGAAGCTGAAAAGCCTCCGGTTCATGGCGGAACATTCCACGACTCAGCTTACAGCTAATTATGCACGTCTGAAATATATATATATATATATATATCACATCACATCACCACATCAACAAAACAGGAACATCTCAGATCTCATGAGCATATACCACATCACATCACCACATCAAAGAAAACACATCTCAGATCTCATCAGCATTTCATACACAGAGGTTTTGGGTCACCTCGCACCTGACGTCGCTGATGGACACGGAGTCCATGGTCTGCAGCTTCCGCCGCATGCTGCGCGGCGTCAGCGACGGCGATCTGATGCTCTCTGAGGACCTGCGTGGCTCGGTGAGATGCGGCCTTGGGGCGCCTCAAGGGGTGTTCGCGGTGGAAAGTGATGGAAAATGGTGAATTAAAGAGATAGGCAATGAAGTAACATCATGATCTTCCCACATTTCTCCTATTCAAATGAGAATGTGTCATGATGTTGGGGACACATGAGGTTTGTGCTACCATTTGTTTGGAACGGCCAGGCCCCAACCATCCCCGATCCGAATGGGACATTCCCCCCACTATCACTGAATAGGTTCACTACCTCCTTCCCCCTAACATAAAATAACCCCCTGGACTCAAAGTATTTTTTTAGATCTAATATAGATCCGGGGGAAAGGATCACTGCGCAACTAATGTGACAAGTGGAGGTTTCCTAAATTGGGGGATCCCCAAAATCATGGGTTTTAATTTGTCAAAACTAAATTCGTCTATGTTTTGGATGATTTTAGCCTACCCCACTTTGACAAACAACCCATTTGAAATAACTTTGAGCTTCCCGGCGCCCAGGTATTGCAGAAGACTCAGATTGCCTAAAGCATTTATTGATGACGCAAAGCAAGTTCAAAGGTATCTGGGATGGTAGGAAGACCGGTCGCAATTTGTGGAATTTGTGGCAAATCAATATGGAAAGTAAACATGTTCATTAACTGTGTTTGATGTCGTCGAATAGAATTCAGTGGACGACATTTTGCACCGATCCGGGTTCACAGGTAGAATCATGCTTTAGCAAAAACAATAGGAGAAAAACTGGGAAAAAACTACATGTTGTTACTTTGAACCGCATTTTTGATATCACCTTACAATTGACCGGAGCAACCGGCTCGGCTCGGCGACGTTACGACACGTTCATAAATCCATTGAACAGGGCGCCACAGGCAAAGATTTCGAGCGACTGCTCGTTGAAGAGGAAGTGGATCGATTTCAAGCTGCTTGGCGACTTGCAAGGGCATCAAGCATCATTAGGTGTCTCCAAGAATTGAATGGTGGCTTTTTGGGCGCGAATCGCCTTGAGTTGTTTTTTTTTCTCCCTGGGACATTAAACATAGAATTACAATTGTAATCATAATGTATAGACTGACTTTCTACATTTCAACCAAACAGAAAAAGATATTTGGTGAGTTCACCCATGAAAGTTGGATGGTAATATGGTTCGAAACTCAATTTGAGCCTTTGTTCTGCCCGATATGGCCCGATGCTGACTAAGTCAGCCGTCGATTCGGTCCACCTGTTTGAACCAATGGACCATTGAACATCGACCCGGTTTTAGACGCGGAACGGCGGAAGATTTTTTAGGGAGACCCTGATCGAAAAGGATGGTTTACTGATTTACTGTAGTATGGTTTAGTACTAAATATGAGCCATTTTTGTTGCTGTTTGTTGGGTGCCCCAATGAATTTATCACCATACCGTATAGCTTGGTCTGTAAAAAACAACCAGGAGTTCATAAAGCAGTCCATGGCGGAAGCTCACAAGCCGGAGGAGCAGAGGTCCAGATCAGCCATGGGGGATTGACCATGCTTGATGGATGAAGCCACTTGCATCAATGTTCAATCCATTGTGGGAAGGGGTTCTGTAGATTGCTAGATAGCTCATGATGGGTCCTAGTGGTTTTGGAACTAGGCTATACCTCGGAAGTATGATATTTCAAACCACCAAACATGTAGACTGGATACATAAATATCCCACTTATGTATCCCATTTCTGTATTCTAGTCTACTGATAGATAGGGTAACCAACAAACATGGGATGCCCGCCCCACAAGTTACCCAAGTTCCTTCCAGGATCCAATGACTCTCGGTGATTCCCATTTGGGTCTGTCAGAAAATAGAGAATTAGCGCCAACACCAGCATTTTTTTATATTGAGAAATATTGAGAAAATCATGACTAAGCAGTGGATGGAATCGGCTACTCTATTTTCAGACACACTTATCGTTGGTTATCCTCCGGTAATGAGACGTGGCAATGGCAAATTCACCATTTAGCTTTAGTTAGCTAGATTATTTTCCCAGCTATAAACCTCCCAGCTAGCCATGCTTACCGAAGGATAAATATTATAATTTCTCATTCTACTTCATTCCCATGACAGATAGTCTATGTATATTTCATAAAAGAAATCCCATTAAACCCTACAATGTGGTGCCCCTCAAGTTAAAGTTGGTTTATAATCCCATTAACTATAGATATATCTACCATAAGTCCTAGTTATTAGAGTTATAAACCAACTTAGCTATCTTGGGGGCACCACCTTGTATCAAATTCCATGGTAAATCCCATTGTGATCAGATTTCACGGGCCAAGGGATCCAAGGGATCCTCGCGGGATCGGCAGGACCAAGACCCCTCCCTGCCTGCGTCTCTCGCTCCGGGGTGTTTGCGACCTGCGCGTCGGGGTGGACGTGTGGCACGTGTCGATGCCGGGGCGGAAGGCTGCGGGGATGGGGAGAAACCGAACCAGATTTGGGGTGATGAACTTTGATTTATGGTTTATAGTGATTTAATGGTGTTTTATAGTGATTCAATGGGAAATTAATAGGGATCTATCTGGGTAAATTATAGCGACCTCACTGCGACCGAACCCTGGAATAATGGTTAGGATTCGGGGACTTATCCAAATATGGGATGATATTTCAGGTTAGTGAATTATTATAATTTGCCCAGATATTTGGGGTGATGAACTTTGAGGTGGGTTTGAAGCATCAACCAGCATGGCACTAAGTCACTAAGTCCCATGCAACTGAACCTCTCCCATTGGGAATTGATGCAGTATATGATCAGTTCTTTGGTAAGATCGTAAACATTGGCAAATTTATATATGAGACTACACCGTATGAGAAGCAAATTTATATATATATATATGATTATATATGTGTGTAGTGTATATCGTATATATATATATATATATTTATGATTTTTGCATTTGTATATACATACATACATACATACATACATACATACCTACATACATACATACATACATACATACACTTTTTAAGAATATACCTGTCACATGATGCCCCTTGATTGTTCCTCTATAAAATGCCTATACTTTACAGCTATGAAATGCCGTTCCGGTACCCATTTTACAGAGGGCCTGTTTGGCCGTCTACAACATGCCCCTCCAGAGCTCAATTTTGTTTATCATTTTATAGAGAGCTTTCTTCCCAGCATCAAAGATGATAGAGAGATGCAAGATGTTGCAAGTGGAGGATGCATTTTATAGGAGGGATTCTTTGCAAACTGTTGCCCTTATTTATTGACCATGCTGTGAAAGGAAAGTGCATTTTATAGAGGTAAACTGGGGCAACCTTGAGTTTTAAGATGTTTTAAGAGCATATGTTGGCCTGTATGGAACAGGCATTCAAATTGGAATTGGCAATCAAGGGGTATGTCACATTTATATATATATACATACACACATATTACATATGGGAGCCGTCCGTAAAAGCAGGTCACAAATTTATGAATTGATGCGTTTACTTTGCTTTGCGCGATTGCTAAAACCTGCATCGCGATAGGCTGAGCGATTGGTCTGCGATTGGTTATACGGCTACCACCCTATTATTACTACTACTACTACTACTACTACTACTACTTTTACTACTAGTACTGCTAGTACTACTAGTACTACTACGACTACTACGACTACTACGACTACTACGACTACTACGACTACTACGACTACTACGACTACTACTACTACTACGACTACTACTACTACTACTACTACTTTTACTACTAGTACTGCTAGTACTACTAGTACTACTACTACTACTACGACTACTACTA